TTAACAGGAGGTGAAAAGCAGCTCTAGACTAGCCGGGCTTGTGATGACGTCACGAAGACTGTTCTGCTCCATTTTACCCAGATTTATGCTGCCTGCTCCCGTTCTCCCCAAGTTCAGACTTTGCTGTGTTCTTCTCAAGAACGTACTTGGCGAGGACACGAGTCCGTACTCACATTCTTGTAAATTGAGAAACGGCCAACATGTGGTGAATCAGTGTTGTGTCGACATATAACCAAGAACTAGAAAAAGAACCTCCTTTAAAGCCGTTCTTTATACTCTGGTAGTGGCANGCCAACATGTGGTGAATCAGTGTTGTGTCGACATATAACCAAGAACTAGAAAAAGAACCTCCTTTAAAGCCGTTCTTTATACTCTGGTAGTGGCAGTAATGTTTCAAAGTCCTTGAGACCACATGGGTGAATATGAAGCCCCGCTAGCGATGTTCTACCTGCGGTTCATCACGTAGGGCGTCTGGTTGACCCACTCCCACCTTCCTGACTTCTCATCCGTCAGACCCACCCAGTAGAACGTACCTCCAGTGTGACGGAACACAAAGTCCTGGACCACAGAGACAAAAAGTAGAAGAGTTAAAGTTTTTACTCAGACGACACAATATTTACCTCCACTGTTAAGAATAAAGTGAGAACTAGTGAGCAGATTTACCCATTCATCATCGCTCATCATTATGACCAGGTGGGACTCGTGTCCGTTGCACCAGTCCCGAGCCTCGTGCCAGGACAGAGCATTCCTACTGAACAAGTAGCAACTGGTGCTGAAACTCTCCCAACCGAGGGGACAGCAGCCATCAGAGAGAGAACCTGAGGAGGCAGAGAAGATGGCGGCGTTCACACTGAACCCATTAGGACTTTGGAACGGAGAACGACCCAGAACCCAGAGGGAGGAACCCTGCTGAGCGTTTGCACTGCCCACCGTTGTTAATGTAGCGATCCAGGGTGCATTTCAGCTTGGCCACCGTCCTGCCGATGGTGTCCAGGGTAGAGAGCTGCTTCAGGGCTTCAGACACTGAGGAGACACAGAGTCAGGGTCCATCAGAGGGTTCTGGAGGTTTCTGTTGTGTTTACGCTCCACGCTGTTCACCTGAGGTCAGCTGCTCCTTATTGCTCTCCACAGAGAACTTCAGCCTCTGGACGTCTTTACCTGTGTCTGCAGCAGATGGCATGGGACAGAGTCAGTTAGGGTGCGGACAGCCCAGGTTCCAGGTGACCTGGACAGGTGTGTTACCTTTAGTGAGCTGCTGGGTGGAGGAATGCCACTCCGTCTGGTTGGACACGGTTTTCTCCAAAGACCAGAGACGGCTCAGTGTGTTGGAGTCTGCAAACAGTCATTGCCCCCACAGGGGCAATTAACCACCAGTTAACTAACAGTCATGTCACATGACCTCAATGCAGAGAAACTCTATTCTGGGATTCAAACCCAGGACCCTCTGGTTGCTAGGATACAGTGGAGCAAACCATCATCCATCCATCATCCAACCAT